CGTCAGTGAGTCGATACCACGACATGCTTGCGCTCTTAGGGCTTTCTGCCAATCTCTTCGTGTCCCCCGTTTCTGTGGTGATTTTAAATGTCTGCAAATGATCGACACTTCTGTCTGGTGGTCGCATTTTCCAATGGAGGGCACGAATGTAGTTTATCGCCACCTCTGAGTGGATAAGACGGGATGAGGCCATATTCAAGTAATTTTTTTGACAGGCTCTTGTAGTGCATCAAATATTGTCAAGCAATTTGCAGAGAGAGAAAGTCAGTGGCATCACAAATTACAGATCAGCAAGTTCTCTCTGGCAAGGAACAGTAGTAGAGAGCCGTTCAAAAAGCTAGCAGAGCTGAAACGACGTATTGAATGTGATGCTGCTTTTTTTAGGGCAATGAATCAGATTTTATTTAGGCAACCACGGAAGGTTCAAAATAAACGGACGTACAAAGCGACTACAATTCCGTTCTTTGATTTAAAACGGCAAGTAGCCAAGACTCATTCATAAAGCTTTTCTTTGTCTTGATATCGACATGAACTGATGTTATTTTGTACCTCCTCGCTTGTGACTCTGTGCTCTCCTCATAATGAAAAATTGAAAATTCTCAAATGAAAGTTACGGAGACGGTGGTTGCAACCGGTCGATTCCTTGTGTCTAGAAGCAACCATTCAAACAGAAATAGCTGTCACAAAAATGAACTTAGTTCAGAAATAGCTATATATCATTTTCCCGTTATTTTTAACAAAATGCAGATGAGCAGAGGTTCGTGGTTTCATGGGATGGCTTCCTTGAAGTCTACCTTGGGTAAGATCAAAACAGGCGTTGTTCTGCCATTCTGTATTCGCATGCTGTCTCTCTCGCCATTTGAATAGAAACGCATGCTTCAAAGGCGAATTTTCTACAAGAACTCTTTAAGACACTCACACTTCTGTGCGGTAGCTGTTGAAGTTTCGGTCGTAATCGGGTAATGTCCACGAACTGCCTGTTTTTTGCTGGTAACAGGAGTTGAGCATTCCACCGAGCATCTGCAAGAATCTCTGCTGTAGGCAGTCGTTCTGCTCAGCCGTTCCTTGGCTAAGTTTCGTTATGACACCCTCTACCGTACTCATCCATTTATGGCACTCGGATAACGGTCCGTCTTCAGCGAATAATTCGTCGCGATCGAAAATGTCGCTTATGCCGCACATGCCTGATCTTGAACATCACAAAGTGTTTCATGGCCGGAAATTATGATCGCTCACAAACTGTACCTGTTGAAACAAGATTGCACGAGTTGCAGCAACTGCGAATCCTGTTCTCGTTCAAGTTGCAGTGCCAGCGAAAGGTTACGATTAACCACCTGACTCGTGCACTTTAAAAAGTCGTTTAGAACATTCCCACAGTGTACTCCGTTTGCAGAGCTTTGAAAAGGCCGTACTATTCGATACTGTATCTAAATGAAATACTCAACAAATCAGAGATTAGAAAACCAATGAAGTCCCAGAAATTTGGCATGCTTTTCATTGGAACAGTCAGTTTTGGCAACTGCCTGAAATAGCACATTTAGACATTTGGCGATGCCTATGTAATCTAGCCAGTAAACCTCATTTGTCCTGCCATCAGCAGGGTTAACATGGAGTTCGTTTAGCTAAACATTCAAGCGACTAATATTGCACTTTGAACGTGAATTACTTCAATAAATCAGCTTAAAACTTTATCATCTAATTCGTTACAACTAATTATCATAATCAAGATGCATTTCTAGAAATCTGGAGCAATATGACTGACAGTTAGTAATTTATTAATGTAGCGCTTTAAACAGAAATAAATATAGGCGCCGGGATCAATTATAATTATTGTCATTTCATCTTGAATATGATAGATATTCGGAGTGGATGGTCGAGCGCAAAAAATAAGAAAAACTCTTTATGAACGAGGAATGCCATCCTTAGGCTGAATTGGCGTTGACCATGATCACGGAATGCAGAAGTATCAGTTTGAGAAATAGCATTATCCCATCTAAGAGGCGCACTGGTACATACGATTCATTGCGTTCGCTTAAATGATCACCCAGGGGACGAAAAGTAAGGAAGTGGTAAATCTGGTGTGAGTGAATGAAATGTAACATTTAGAGGGAAATCGAAATGCTTTCGTTTGTGACAGCTTCCTCAGGACACTGGGTCTATGTATGTGCTTACATATAATGCCAAATTTAGCTGGTGCTCGAATACGCCATTATTCAGGCCAATTCAGACATGCAGTCATGTCTTGCATTCCATGCACTACATTCGCTTAAATTCGACGGTATCATTGTCCGGTAAGATTATCTCCCATTAGAAGTAAGCAGACAGTGCGTTTTCACCTTGTAAATCCGGGTACCGTTGATCGAAATATATTTCGTCATTTATGGATTAATTTACTTGGTGGCATAGAGTTAGTAACTACCATTGACAGTTAGCTCTCAGCTTCAATCTAGCAAAAAAGGAAT